TGTGTAGTCTCAGACCATCTTTTGTTATGTCTGCAGCCTCTGCCATTCTCCATGTTGCATGCTGCAGTTATCTCATGTCGTATGCTTGTAGTCTCTGATCGTCTTCTGTTCCATGTCTGCAGTCTCTGACCATTTCCTGTAGCATGCTCATAGTATCTGGTTGGCTCCTGTTGCATGCCTGCAGTTTCTGACGGCTTTATGTAGCATTACATTCAATTATATTGTGTATGGCGATGTTGGGAGCTGCACATGAGGCCCCCCCTATATTAAAAAAGTTAACCACCGCTGTTTAGGTCTAATACTTAAAATTGCATTTGAAATGACATTATGCCCCACCCACTTGCTGTAGGTATCTAGGTAGGATAGTGACCTCTCTAATATATAGCCCCCTTGGGCTGAAGCACATCAAGCAGGATTGATTGACATTCATGGGGTATATAGGCAGCCTTCAATTCATCACTACCAAAAATGTATTTTTGTTTGTGTCCCTTTGGAAAGAGTTACCATTACTTCCTGTCTGGACAGGAAGTGAGGGCAAATTTCCCGTAAAAAAATACCAAAGGAAATACAGACCTGGCAGAGCTTCTACGCTTTCACCATTTCTAAGAATGAAATGAGTTGGTGTCATGTTTTAAGTTAGTGTTTTCAACTCACAGAGATGTTTTAAAGCGTGCAGGCATCCGAGGCATGCTTGTCAGGATGATAGTTTCCTAATGTCTGATGGGCACAACGCCTACACCCAGCTTTAGATTTTGGAAACTGCCTTGCAATACAGACACTCTGTGTTCTTTTATTAATTGTACCTGCATTTATTAACCTACAAAAGGCAGTTTGGATGTTGTCATGCAGAAATGATCAGTAAGACTCATCCTTTTCCAATAAATATGAAGAAATGTGTTTACCACATAATTGGCAAGCTCAGACCAGTTATTCAAGTTACAAAACAAGGTTACGTTGTCACATGACTCCCTTAGAAGTCAAGTTAAATAATATAATGTAAATGTGCTTATAAAATCAGACTGAATACATCAGCAAGGAGTCGTTAGGCTCAAAAAAACATTTTCTGCCTATACACAGGACGATTCACTGCTCAGAAAGAAATGATGAGACCCATTTTGGCAAACTCTTCTTTATTAAACACATTAATCCCACTATCCTGTGCATCACAATCAATCATCATGTTCTGCAACAGTAACACTAGGCCCCATCTGGGACCTCCTTCTCTAGACGCATTTCACCCAAAACTGGGTGGAGACAAGCCTAGTTTTGGATTAAACGCGTCGAGGTTTTTGTGTTGTTTGTCCAGAACAATAAAGTCCCTTACGATGCATTTCAAGAACGAATTTAGGTGTGCCGCCGGCTTGATTCTTTTCTATGTACGGACTGTTTAGGGCAAAGGCAAGCCCCTGCTTGTTTTTGGCACCCAGGTAGCCAAGGAAAGAGAGGGGTAGGATTAGAACTCTGGTTGGGTTTTTACATCCGATGCGAAGTAACCTCATCTCTGTCATGAGGACAGAAAGTAAAGGGAAATCTTTCTATTGGAGCCCCAATAGTTAAGCCTGACAGGGGGTCTTGGTTTTTGATAGACTGGGAAAGGATCAGAACCCCAGTCAGGCTGTACAATTATCTAGGGCTCTGTTAGAAAGACTTACGGTAACCTCACTTCCTGTCCTGCTGATTACGTTTTACTAGACAGTAACAGGGGAGCTCTCCAACTGCAACACAGAGAAATAATTAAAAACAAATCTTCAGCCAAAGTAGGACATTACCTCAACCCGTCAGATTTGCGTGTTCCTGTTGCAAATTTGCCCTCACTTCCTGTCTGAGGAAACTATTTTCAGCAGGACAGGAGGTGAGGTTAAATTGCACCAGAGTGCTGTAAAAACCTGACAGGAGTTCTAATTTTCCCCTTTCTCTTCCAAAACTAGAGAAACGTTTTCAGCTAGATGTTCACTAATGCCAAACTGCTTAGTTTTGGATAGAGTAGGAAAAGGTTACAGTTTTTCTCACATTTCTGTTTCCATTGGATAACTTCACAAGGACAATAAGGAAGAAGAAATATTTGCAAAAAGCACCCAGATGGCAATAAACATTTTTTTTAGAAGAGTTATGTTTGTTTGCTTTCTGTGTCCCTGTTAAAGAGATTTTGCCTTGCTTTCTGTCCACGTGTCAGAACAGGAAGTGAGGGGAAATCTTTGCTTGTTCTTTATTGGCAGCTAAACGTATTGAACTCATGTCTAATCCATTGTCACAAATATTACTTGGATATTGGCCTCAAAGCAATACAGATTGTGGGCAGGCATGACCGTTTGTGTGTGTAGGGGTGTAACGACATATCTTTCTGTGAAAATAGAGGCAAAAACATTCTTAATGTCATTTCCTTTCAAGTCGAATGTAGTATGCTGCAAATACCAAAATATGGCCACTAAATGAAGCTGAGTATGTTCCTTAGCTCCACCTGGTGACCATAATGCGGTATTACATTCAATATTCTAAGGGGGTTATTTACTAATGAGCCGAGTGGTTTAATAAGGAGTTGCGCTAATATTGCGCAACATAAAAATTTGCAATTACCACCATTTTATTCTATAGGGTCTTGGCATTCAGAAAATATATCAAGTTTGGGGGTTTTAAGTCTTTTTCAGACCTAAAATGTGGAATATAACATGGGTGCAAATAATGAAAAAAAGGCCTCAGTCATGAAGGGGTTAAGACGAAGCTTCGGCTTGCTTTGGCTGCGGGAGCCTATTTTCTGAATGCTGTTCAGCCCCTATGAGAATTCAGATGTTCAGCCCCTCAGCCGATTCAGATGTTGGATTGGCTGAGGCGAACTTGTTCTTCACTTCGGCTCAGCCAAACTGTTTGGCTGAACCGAAGTGAAGCGAAGGGAAACAAAGCCAGCCGATGTACGGCTGAAGTGAATAGCTGAACAGCGTTCGGCTCACTTCACTTTGGGTCGGTTATTCACTCGGCTGCCGAGTTGTTCATTTCTGCCTCTGTTCACACAGAACGAAGGTTCAGAGATTCATAGGGTGAATGGCTGTGAGAATGGTTTATAAAAAGACATCAAAATGTATGTAAACCCAAAATGTATGTCAGTATATTTGGCATCATCCCTCACTATGTTCAGCAAATATTTATGAAACTGTTGCAAGTTTCTTACTAGAAGATCCTGTAAGTAACAGCACTTGGCAATTAGCAGCAGTGTTGTCAATGTGCTGTGTTTGCTCCTTCAATTGGCTGTTGGGCTGCTTAAGATAGGCAGGCTAATGGCCAACTAAAAGGAACTTGCATGGCAAGATGACAGTGCTGCTGCTAATTGCAAGGCAGTGGTTTAGCGTTGTCAGCCTGCAACAAGCGCTGTTACGCGCTGGATCTCCAGACGGGTAAAGTTTGAAAAAGAACCACAAAAACTGTATGCAGTGAAACATGGTGCCAAACATACCGAGAAATAGATCTGGAGTTGCATGCACTTTTTTGGCTATGGATACATTTTAACTGAGCTGTCTTTTTCTCTTTATTGCTTCTCTCACTGGAGCTGTAAATTCACACAAAATGCAGAAAATCACAAAAGATAAAGTTCTATTTTTTTATTACAGGATTCGATAGTATTTCCAGCAGACTGAGGGCGAAATGAACAGGATGGTCAATGGGTGTTTTGCATCTACCATATTTACCAGACATTACCCAAGGAGTGTATGTGGTATCGATACCTACTTGACAACATTGAAGTCTGGATATGATCTGATGATGACTTCTTGTATAATTACCAAAATAAACATCTATGGTAAGTACGGATCACATGTATTTTTGAGGCTTTATGTGACTGAATTCTGATATATTTTAAAATATGAATATTCTTTCCTTTACGGTGCATGGCACATTAATATGTGCTATATATATATATATATATATATATATATATATATATTACGACACAGAGTAAAAACAGTGCAGTAATCCATTTGTCCAGCGTCGCAAGCTTTGCCTTTTTTGTTTTAGGGCCCAGAGTGGCAATCTGCACTTCTGACAATTTGCCTGCGGAGTTTTAGAGTATTGGCGACAATGTATGTCATGCGCTTCAGTCATGTCAACCAACAGATCTATGGCAATTAGGTCCTGCAAAGGTAGCAATGTCATTAATGCTGAACACCATTGTTCCTCATGCTTGGAAAAGTTTGGTGAAGTATGTGAATGCCAGTTGATGTACTTTATATGGCAGTCTAGCCTGGTTAATTTTTATTTTGCCTTTGGAGCTCATCTTCCCGTGTTACATAGTGGCATATCCTCCAGTGTTAAAGACCAGTCAGTAGGTTCTCTTCAGATGTCAGACGATAGTTCTACTCCAGTGTCTCCAATGTCAGAAGATAGTTCTTCTCCAGTGTCTGTTTCCAGAGATAAATTATGTTTTGTTTCCAGTGTCACAGCATAGCTTCATATAAGAGTCAGTACCTATCATTTTCATAATAATACCCCCTACCCATTCCAGTGTCACAGATTAAAATGGTTCCAATCCATGTCAACATGAGAAGATAATAATTCGTACCCTCCCATTCCGTTGTCACATGATCATCTGCCTCTTTCCAACATTCCAGAGAGAAGTTGATCCTTTTCCAGTGTTACCCGATTCTGTGATTGTTGGTTGCAACCGCTATGTCTTTCATTTGAAGATTCCGAATTTTGATGCAACTTTTCGCTTGAGTGCGACAACAGAATGAGTCCCTACCTAATCCAGTGTCATGCGAACACTTTGTCCTTTTGCTGTCAAAGCATGATACAATACATGATACATAGGTTTTTTTGTTTTTCATAAAATAATGCATACCCCCCCATTCCAATGTCCCCAAATATAAGTTTGATTGAAGCGAGTGTCATCACAGATGGATAGAGTCCAGCTCTACATCGAGTAGTGGCAGCTAAATGCTTTGGTCCTTCAGGAGTATCTGGCAGTTTCTTTCCAGGTGGTAACCCAACGCTTCTGACTGTGTGGTAGCCTGCCGCACAGCTTCTGCCTTTCTTCTTGACGGACGCACACGGCGTAGTGAGTCTGTCCCAGACTGTAGTGTCTGACATTATGGAAAAATCCAACCTACGAGATGGTGGGTGGGAAGGAAACAGGAAAGGAAGGGTGGGACGACAAGAAGGTTGAATTAGAGAAGGTTCCAGTGGATGGGACACAAAGAGGATACAGATATAAGGAGAGAAAGGTTTCAAGAGAACAATTGTCCGTTGCTTGGAAAGACAGGATAGAAGGTTAAGAAGAATAAAAGTAAGGCATAAAACACAAGTAGAGACAGGTTACAATTAGAGACGTTTCCAATGGATGGAACACAAAGATAATACAGGTATAGAGGAAGTTTTCAAGAGAACAATTTTCCGTTGCTTGGAAAGAGAGGATAGAAGGTTGAGAAGAAGAAAGGTGAGGCATAAAACACAAGTAGGGACAGCTTACAATTAGAGACGTTTCCAATGGATGGAACACAAAGATAATACAGTTATAGAGGAAGGTTTCAAGAGAACAATTTTCCGTTGCTTGGAAAGAGGATAGAAGGTTGAGAAGAAGAAAGGTGAGGAATAAAACACAAGTAGGGACAGGTTACAATTAGAGACGTTTCCAATGGATGCACAGGCAGAAAAGATGGTGAGGTGTGCAGCAGTGTCAGAAGAAGACGCAGCTGGTGAAAATAGACATTAGAAGGTTGGGAATAAAATTGGGAATTGATGAGCATTATGTAAAATGGGAACAAAATATGTCAGATTATAGTAGAAGCTTCTCAGCCGGGAAGTTTGAAACAGGAGGGTTTATGAAGTTTTCTATTATTGATGAGGAAGCTGAGGAACATTGCAACAAAGCATAGCTAAAACAAAAACTTCTAAGTTTGATAGAGTAAGTAAGTGGTTTATTTGCTGTGTGTGCCCTGTTTGGGGAGATTCACCTTCTTTTTAGTTCCGGTGACAACTGTATCTGGTACAAAATGTGACAGGAACTTCAAAATATAAGAGTTGTCCATGGAACAGGAGATGAGAGTAAAGCTTGCAACAGGGACATGTGCTGCAGTGACAATCTAAAAGAGGATTTCACCTTACTTGGGACAGATTTCCACTTACTTCTTGCTGGGTCTCCAATAAGGACAATAAGGAGTATCTCTCCAGTGGAACACAGACAGCAAAAAAATGAACCTGACAAATATATTCTCCATTCCCGACTCTATCCAAAACTAGAACATTTTAAGATGAATGGGAGAAGTATATTTGTGTCAGATATATAGCTGGGTAGTAATTATGAAGGGTGAGGTTGCAGTTAGGGTTGGGAGCGGTTGGAGAGATGGTAGAGAAGTGATGATAATGATGGTATGATAATGAGGTAGTATAGTTATAGACAGTGGATTTGGGTGAAATGTTACCAGCCAGAAATAGTAGGAAAATAAAAAGTCTAGGTGGCAATCAGAGAAAAAAAACAACTTGAGTTATAAACTAGTATTATGTGACTGCAAAGATGGACTTGAGGAGTGTGAAGAAAGTGGACAGAAGGATACAACAGATTTGCTCTTCAACTGATAAACAGAGAAATAGAAACATACTGCATATAGATTTCTAGCCAGAGCGCAATAGAAGTTTCACTTGTTACAAGAGAGGTACAAAGGTGATTAGATTGCTGCAAGAAGACCAGTGAGAGTGCACAGAGTAAGTTGGAAGACTGAGAAAGGTCTGCAAGACTAAGGTGATCTTGTTTGGTTACCCGTGGGGCAGGGTTGGGGGGTCACGGGTCAGAGGTCTTATTCAGGAATCTTGTGTTAGCCGTTCAGTCTCTGATGGTTGCACCTTCATCTCAGCCTTCTGACCTCTGACCTCATACTTGGCTCGAGTGTTGGCCCTCCGGAAGAATCCACACTACAAGGCAGGAGAGGGGTCATGGACTGTTGAATAAAGCCTTACAGTTTTAAAGAAAAGGTTTGTTTCTAAAGTTATTAGATGACTAGGACAGTTGGTGTGGAAATAGGAGTTACACATGGCAGATGTGAAGCACCAGTGAAAAATCCAAGCTTGCCTGAAATAGAGAGCAGCTACAAAAGGAAACAGTTATCATTAACGTATCACTACTTTGTACAATGCTTTATGGATCTCCGCAATGCCCTGTGGTGATCTCACAATGCATTATATATATCTTCAAATTCATACTTGTGCATTACCCCCCTACCCTAACTGCAATGCAAGTACATCTCAGTAGGTCACTTAACAGCTTGTAGTGCATTGTGAGAGGTGGAGGGGGGGGGACCCGGTATTGTATTAAAGGAGAACTATGGGGTCAGTGTTTTTCCCCATAGTTCTCCTTGGGGTAACGGGAGGACACAAACTAGCGTCCTCCCGTCACCCTAAGCTCAGTATACCGCGAGCTACAGCTCGCGGTATACTGAGACGCCGCACCTGGAGCGGATCCCGACTTAGATGACGGGATCCGCCCAGCTGCGTGAGTGACAGCTGGCTCTGCCTATCTAGAGGCAGAGCCAACTGTACCCGCCCCCTCCCCCGTCCGTTCCGCCAGTCAGCGCTGGCAGATCGGAGCGGGGAGAGGGGAATCCAGCCCCTCCCCCTGTCACGGCAGAGAGCCGTGACAGGATCGAGAGGTGAGGGAACCCGGTATGTTTTCCCTCACCTCCCGATCTACTGAGCCGACCTGTGACAGTCTCATTGTCACAGGTCGGCTTAGAACTATGACGTGAGTGGAAATCACTCAAGTCATAGTTCTCCTTTAAGGAAAAGTTAAAGGGGACTGGAATGACCTAATTTCCAAAAAGCATGACAGCTTATGGTACTGGTAACTGCAAGATGATGTATTTTTACTTTGGGTTGCCCAATAAGATGATTGTGATCTTCAGAAAAGGCAACAAGGACATTTTATTGGATAGGTCCCTCACAACCCAATTGCTTATAGAGCTCTCCAACCTTCAGTTATACTACAGGGATCTGTTCACGTACATATTTTGCAAATTCTTAAGTCAGAGAACACTGGGCCCTAAAGCTGGTAAGCCCCATAAAAGATATAAGATCTGCTATGGTGAAACGCTATATGGCTAAAATTGTGTGAAGACTTGAGTATCACATCTGTGAGCTTGGTGGACATCTCATTCCAAAACCATTAACATGAACTTGCCCCCCTTCTGTGGCTATAACAGCCGTTTTTACAGCATCCATTCTTCTGCTTTCCACAAGATTTTGGAGTGTGTCTGTGGGAATTTGTGCCCATTACACCAAAAGAGCATTTGTGAAGTCAGATACTGACTTACGAGGAGCAGAACTTAAATCGTTACAATTCAACCCAAAAGTGTTTAAAGTGTTTAAAGGGGTTGAGGTCAGGGCTCTGTGCAAGTGACTTGAGTTCCTCCACACCAAACTCATTAAACCAGGTTCATATAGAGCTGGGACAGAGAAGGGCCTTCCCCAAACTGTTCCTACAAGGTTGGAGGTGCACCATTGTCTGAAATGTCTTTGTATGCTCTAGCATTAACAGTGCGCTTCACTAGAAACACCTCAACTCAATATTTGCAGAGGTGTCCACATGCTTCTGGCCATATAGGTAGGTGTGATGGTCAGGTGTCCACCAACTTTAAGCCATATATTGTAGTTTGTCTTTGGGTCTTCATGTTTGTTTATACGACTGCTTAAGGTGTTACACCTTAAGTTTAAGGTGTAACAGGTCACTGATGCGACCTGCAGTATCCGGAATGCATTGCAGCCTATCACTACCCAACAAAACCTATTATCATAACATATCACCATAGAAACTCTGAAAGAGAATTGTTTTTCAGTCCTTACCATCCACAGGCATAAAATGATGGCTCCCAATAGCAAAATTCCAGATCCTGCTGAAACTATAATCAGCCACAGTGGAATCTCCACTGGTGGGGTCTCTTCTAACTCTGAGTCTATGGCAACTGAAAACTAGTAGCCAGGAAAGGAGAAAAAACAATGGATGAGATCAAATCAGTTTAAAACAACTTTGTTTGTTAATGCACTGCATATCATAAACAATTTCTAAGCTGTTAGACTGACTACCTGAAAGAACCTTGGTAGTTAGAAGCACTTCCCCAAAGAAACCTGCTATGGACCAGTTTTCCTTGATCATTACGAGCCCTGATGAAGGGGCTCCAATGGGCCCCTAAAACGCACTGCCTATGGGATATTTACTGTGACCAATTAAGACTTTGCTCTTGTCTGCCTACTGTACATACTGTTACATCCCTAGTCCATCGGTTTCTGGGGAATTGTCTAAAAAACTGAGAAGTCCTCATATCAGGGTCAAGAGCTCCAACAATATTTTTGTATCTATAACCAGTTTCCATGGCTTTTGTTTTTTATAAAATATATATATATTTTTCATTTCAGTGCTGCTGATCTCCTCCAGCCTCTTTCCTGTCAGACAGCTTTTGTTTAAGGACCTCCCAGTCAACAAGTAAAGATGTAGTAGGTTTGTGGTAGCACCGGACCAATGTAAGTTTGATTTATGTAAATACAAAACATGAATATTATCTTAAGGAGGTTAATCTACAATGAAGTAAAGGGACCAAGTTATGGTCTTAGACTGCTGCCTCTCCGATCGCAGTAAATTAACTCCTCAATGGTCGTCTCATCTTCACAAGGCTATGGTGAAACCATTGCTCTAGTCAGCCCCAAAGCAGGCTTTCTAGTGAGTCCATTACAAGCCAAATGGATAAGCCCTGAAAGAAAGGGGAGGCCCATACTGTGAAGCGTGCTGGATGTATTTAAATCAATAAATATTTTATATCAATATTAAAAGGAGAACTATGGGGTCAGTGTTTTTCCCCATAGTTCTCAGGGTCACGGGAGGACATAAACTAGTGTCCTCCCGTGACCCAAAGCTCAGTATACCACGAGCTACAGCTCACGGTATACAGAGACTGCCGCAGCCGGGACGGATCCCGACATTAGTGTCGAGATCCACCCAGCTACGTGATTGACAGCTGGCTCTGCCTATCTAGAGGCAGAGCCAGCTATGCCCGCCCCCTCCCCCGTCCGTTCCGCCAGTCAGCGCTGGTAGATCGGAGAGGGGTATTCCTGCAGGGAGCCGTGAGTGACAGTCACATCTCCCTGCAAGGAGATGATCGAGAAGTGAGCAAGCGACGGGATGTCTTCGCTCACTTCCCGATCTATTGAGCCGAAGTGTGACAGTTTCATTGTCACACGTCGGCACGAACTATGAGGATGAGTGATTTTAGTTCTTCTTTAAGCTACACAACCATTTTTACCAGGAGTTCCTAACTCTATAACCAAGACCCAACAAGTGAAAGCATTCAGTGTATTACTACAGCTATCCAGTTAAACACTGTGAGACAGCAAAGAGGTGTTCCCACATCACCCACAGTGCATTCCAGGATCACCACATTACACCCTTATTGGCCTGGTTTGGGCTGGTGCTGCCGCACGCACAGCAATGTCTGTATAAAGACAGACTGGACCACTCAATAGATAAGCTATGCTTCCCCACTATGTATCATTTTGATTGGAGTCTACTGCTAGAGCTACATCCCCAACCTCCGTTGGTCAAGAACACATTCCCAGGCCGCAGAATGGTCAATGAAGAAGCAACAGCACATCAAGGAGGCATTGGTTGTGCTCACTCTGGCTTCTCCTGCTTTTAGCATGTTCACTGTCAGCACATGTCCTGGTTTTATTTAAAAAATACATTGAATGATTTCTCATGAATAAATGAATACATACAGGATACATACCAATACATGGTGTGTCTGCATGTTTATAGATGGAACGTTGGTTTTAAGATAGAGTTCCGCTGTGCCTTCCACCCATACTCTGTCCACCTGTCTGTAATCCTGGTAGGACACAAGGACAGATTGGTATTAGGTGCAGGGAAAAACAAGCAAGATTTGAGCAGTAAATATGTTACAAATAGATATATAAAGCAAATAAAAGCTTTAGAAAAGATCTTTGTGAAAACTCCGATAGACTTGAAATCACATTCACAATTTCTAACGTTTCATCTCTTCTTCCTCGCTTTCATAAACATGACATATGGATCTGAAATCAATGTTGTATAACAGTAATGTCAAATTTAATACTGCTCCTCCCTTGCCCGCGCTTCCATCTTCGTTCTGGTCTTCTTCTGTGTTTCGGCCATTTGATTGGTCGGGCCCTGATGATGTAGAGGTACATGCACACAGGAGGTACTTCACCTTGGCATGCTGAGCTTGTGCACTGAGCTGCTCATGCGTGGTGTACAGGTAAAAAAAAAATAGCTGACAGGCAGCAAGAAGCTTTCATGGCAGAAGAGAGACTTGCACAGTCTCTTCTGATACACAAAAGCCAGTTTAATAGAGACCCGTATGGGTCTGTTTCTCCAGACTTGACCCATGTCTGCAACTCTACCCATAATCCATTTGTAGTCCTGACCTTCCCCATAGAAATTGTACCTGCATCCCTATCCGAGACCCACTTTTACTGTTGCCAAAGTTAAAGGTTGCTTCCAACTTACAGAAGACTGCTGCTATGTTACAAAAGATTGACATCTGCCAAGTTTTAACTTTGAGATTGGCCAATGGCAGGCTTATTTCTGCACTCTAGGCATTAGGGTGAAACCTAATCCCCCAAAAAAGGCTGTGGGGCAACCCCACTGCAATCTGACCCATCACCTGATTCATGTAACTTTTTCTACTCCACAGTGTCGGTTATCCAAAGCTAAGATACCTGGCTTACTTCCTTTGTTCCAAAGATCTCTCGTCTGATGTCTCGCTAAACTGCTTTCATACTACATTACCACTCCACCAAACGTATGCCCCTCCCCTAAATTCTGAAGTTTTAACTACACATACATGATTTACTCTGCAGACGGGACTATGATAACAAACAGAAAAATCAGACCCACCTCTAAGAATGTGCTGTTCCAGACTCTTGCTTTTACTGTGACAGTTGCTGTATTCTTCATATTGTCCAAGGCGCACTCGAAACGCACACAGTTTGCACCACCTCCTCTGCATTTCTGTAAATGTTCCACATTAAATTTGTGAGATTAAAAGGTAAAAAAAAATACAAAATTTGATGGACCTCAGTAATCAACGTTGGCCTGTACAAATGCCACAGTGGCCATTCACATTTTCCATTTCTAGCTACCATTTATCAGCGCTGGTTTAAATCAGATTGTCACCGAACATTATATACATTGATAAATGAGACCTTTTCACATTGAACATTTACATAGGAAGGAAAAATGCTAAAACAGTTTATTTTTCTAACCTTGACTGTTTTTGGTGTCACCCAAGGGTGCACTGTAGGCTAAAAACATCTCCCCTGCTGCTTCCATGACAGTGCTAGAACAGTGTTTTTCTCTAACTTTGACTGTCTTTGGTAGGGGTGCACTAATATCGGTTTTTCGCTATTGAGTACGAGCACCGATATTTTTTTTGCAGTACCCGCCAATACCTGTACCGGAGGTCCCATTAAAGAAGCCAGGCGGCGTGTAATGACTCACTGCCCAGCTTCCAGATTAGCCGAAAGCCAGGCGGCATGTAATGACTCTCTGCCCCGCTTCCTGATTAGCAGCGAAGCCGTCTCCATACATAGAGCCGGCCAATCAGGAAGCCAGGGGGGCGGTTAATGACTTGTCGCCCAGCTTCCTGATTGGTCGGGAAGCTGGCTAATCAGGAAGCTGGGCGGCGAGTCATTACACGCCACCCGGCTTCCTGATTTGCCGGGAAGCCAGCTTCATGCTCCCTCGTCATCAGGCTTTATGATTCGCCACCCGACTTCCTGATTGGCCAGCTTCTCCACCAATCAGGAAGCTGTAATAAAATTGTAATTCAGGGAGCGGCCATAACAATGGATTTACCAAGCATGGCGAATTCTCGAAAGAAAGGGCATAGCAGAAGCTGTTGGCCTTCAGACCGCCTCTCTCTCTCTCTCTCATCAAAACTCCACAGGGCCCTTTCTAAACAAATAGCCAAATAGTGAGAGAGAGGAGTCACTCCTTTGACTCATTCACTTGTGACTGAAAATTGCAGCTTTAGCTACTGAGCTCTGCAGACAACAGGACTATTTTTTAAAGAGGAAGAGTCTGGGACTTGGAAAAAAAAAAGAGAAGGGAGCTCACCCTGCTGACTTCATATGAAAATACAAAATATGAATGCACAATAGTTTACTGTTACCTGAATTAGGATACATTTCAGCTTTTAGTCCTGATCATATAACTATAATGTATACAAAACCCACTATAAGTTCCCTTTAAAGATATGTCTGTATTCATTATAACAACCAATTAACCATTTTCTAACGTCCAAAAAATGATGGCTAAAATCTGATTGGCTGCTTGACAGTGTTCTGGTGCTTAATCATCTCATGCACAATCACAAGCAGACACCTACCAGTAGAGTGTTGGGCTTCTCTCTTTTAATAGCTGGTAGACTAAGAACGTCTATTGATTCTGCGGTTTCTCTTCGCCTCCTGCCACTTTCCAGCTGAAAATCAATGAAAGAAACATCTTTACAGAGCCCCCAATATGAAATTAAGGATATAAAGGACATTCAGAATCAGAAGTACATATACATAGGGTGATACATGACATAACTCTCATGGAGAACTAGAGGTTTACTATTCTTCCAACAAATTTCAGTGTGTATCTGTGGGTGCCAACACCAAGGACACACCATTTTTGTAGATGGGGATGCAGAAATGTTTGCTCTAGTCCATGAAATGGAGCCAACATACACTGTACACCAGGGGTGCCTTAGAAGTGGACTGCGGTCCGGAGATCTCCCTTTGACTGGAAGTTCTGGTATCGGAGCTAAGTATGGGAGCATTTGGCTGAGTACGAGTACTCGCCCATATACTCGGTATACTGATACTAGTATCGGTGCATCCCTACTTAAGACATAGCATGCAAACACAGCAGAGCCACATATTCCATGCAAGTTAAGAAAGATACCAGTTTAAAATAAAGGTGTATGTTTTACAGTGGAACCTAATCCAAAATGTGTTTGTTCTAGATAAAGTAGGAAAGTTTCAAAGCCCTCGTCAGGTGTTTATCGCCGTCTGATTTCAGAATTAGTTCATAAAGTCCTTGCAAATTTCAAAGACTTTTTAGTAGTCTGAAAACGTCACAAGCCACTTGTGTAGGAGTAGGGATGAACAACTACTTACTGTAAGGTTTAAAGGATTAATGACATCTCCAGGAGGGTGACACCGCGTCACATTTCCTGTATTCACTAGCACCTCGGTTGGATAAAGCAGCCATTTTCCATTGGCAACCTCATGCGGCCACTCTACTGCCAGGATGAGAGAGCCCATATTGTTTAGAGGCTCACTTCCACTGATCACCTGAAGAGAAAGATGAGAAGAGTGAATCCTCTGCACATTCACATACTGTAAGATTAGCAGTGGTAGGCATCCTCGGCACTCTGTGGTGGTGAAACCACAAATCCCATCATGCCTATGCCTCTAGGAGTCGTGGCTGTGAGAGTATTTGAAGGCTTCATGGGTAGTTTCAAAACAGCTGGAGAGCTGAGGTTGCCTACCCTTGAGATATAGGGTTCATTCTTTTTGGCTTCTCCGTCCTTACCGTAAATGTGAAATTTAAGGGACTTCCCACATCATTAACTCTTTTCATGGCCGATTCTCCCAACACTTTACCACTAAAGTATGTCTGTCGATTAACAGGTTTCCTGAAGAAGGAAGAGATACAGACAGGTGAGAAGACGTGTCTTACTAGGGGGCTCAATGATCTTCATATACAGACTCTGTATACATGGACAGCAAACTGAGGATCACATTCCTATGGACACCAATGATACTGCTTCCATTCTTAATCTCCTCAGACACTGTTCTCTGTTCAAACTCACGAGGTACTTGTGGTTTACAGAAGCTATAAATTAAGTTAATTGAATAGAGGAAGAAGACAAAAGAAGAAGTCAGATAAAGGAAGAATAGGAAAAAAAGAGGGAAGAAAGGAAACAAAGAGAAGGATGTAAAAAGGAAAAAGAAACAAGCAGGAGGAAAGTGAAGGAAAAAGGAGGATAGAAGAAGAGAGAAGCGGGTGGAAGGAAGACAGATTAAGGAAAGAAGAGGAAGGAAGAATGAGAATGATGAAGAGGAAAAAGCAGGAAGGGTAAAGGGATGGAGGAGGAGGAAGAAGAAAGAAAAGAAAATGGAGGAGCAAAGAAGGAAAAAGAAAGAGGAAGAAGGATCGAGGAAGGAAGGAGACGGAAGGCGAGAGGTGGAAGAAGAAAGAGGGAGGATGAAAGTACAAGGAAGAAGTAGAAGAGGAATAAGAAAGCAGGAAAGAGAAAAACAGAGAAGGGAGAAAGAGGAAAAACAGAAGAAGGAGCAAGGAAGAATAAAGAAATAAGGAACAAAAAGGAAAGGGGTTAGAAGGATAAAGAAGGAGGAGAAACAAACAAAGAAGGAAGGAAGTAAGGAGGAAGGAAGAAACATGGAAGAGAAAGAAAACAGGAAGAAACAATAACAAATAGGAAGGGAAGACAGAAAAGAAGGAAGAGAAGATAGAGGAGAAGGGAGGAAAAAGAGGAACAAAGAAGAAAAAGGGAAGGAGGAGAAGCTACATCAACATTAACACAGTGTTCCTGTTGTTGACTGGTCAAAACCAGTCCCTTATACAGACATATTTCTGTCCATCAATGCCCACCATGAAACTGGCAGAGTTTCGAAATCGGAGGGAATGGCCTTTGTGATCGGGAATCATTCACATTTACACCACGCCAGTGCGGACCTCTCCCATGTTTCTATCCTAACTGGTTCCCTTGGAGTTGAGAAGGAAGAACTTACACTGATAACGATGTCTGTAGATTGTACTCGACCAAGAAGTTGGCATACCGTTCATCAAGGTTAGCTTGTTTACTTGACCTGAAAACAAAACACAAGGAAAACAGCCTTTTAGGGCCCATTCACACTATTGCGTTGTGGTATTGCATGTGTCATCACAACGTACGGCAATGCAGGTTACATGAGTTGGTTTGATGCAGTGCCATTCATTCTGTATGGCACCCCAATGCACCTTGCTGACAGACATGGGCTGCAGCCCAGCACAAAGCATGGCAACACACCAACATTCTGCAGTGCATTGCCACAAATGCAATATGAACCTTGTTTTGGTATGTTAGACAGGCCACCTCAAATGAATGCGTGGCGCAACACATCTGCACTAACACGACACAATAGAGTAAATGGGCCCGTAAGGTTCATTTACATCTGTGCGTTTTCTTTTTACCATTGGCAAACACAGGAAAAGTTGTTCTGTATCAAAGTGCATTACCCAGTCCCATGGGAGTATGAGGGGAAGCCGTACCAGTAATTGTACACTATTCTGCTTTTACAGTATGAACTTTATTGCAACTTCCACATGATCAACACATCAAAATGAGTAACAGGCAATTAGAAACCCACGGTTCAGTGTGCCAATGGGTGTGAACAGGACCTTTGGGATCTTGTACACTTGATATGGTCACCAACTGCTCGAGTCAATCGTGGTCAGACAGGAAGTGAAGCAAAATCTCCCCAATGGGAAACCGCAAATACAAATTGAACAGACAAGGGCTTCAAATCTTTGCTAAAATACTTGGCTATATATAAAATTTAAGGCCAGCAATTAGGGATGCACCAATACAGATACTAGTATCGGTATTGTTGCCGATACCGAGTATTAGGCTGAGTACTCGTTCTCGGCCAAATGCTCTGATACTTACCTCCGATACCAGAACTGCCAGTCAGAGGGAGATTTCATCTGACCGGCAGTGCAGCATGGGAACACGGAGCCGGCTTCCTGGCCAATCAGGAAGCTGGGCGACGGATAATAACTTGCCGCTCGGCTTCCTGATTGTCCAGGAAGCTGGCCCCATGCTGTTTGGCCTTGCTAGATCCTAAATGGCCGGGAAGCCGGCTCCATGTTGATTGGCTGGGAAGCCGGCTTCCTGGTCAATCAGCATCAAGCCTGCCAAACAGCCGGCTCAATGCTGATTGGCGGGGAAGCCAATCAGCATTGAGCCAGCCAAAAAGATTCAAGCCCATCAAAATTGCCAGGGAAGCCGGCTCCATGCTAGCGGAAGTACCGATTTTCGTACTCAGTACCAGCGAGTACTGAAATATAAATATCGGTTCTCGTACCGAAAAAACGGTATCAGTGCATCCCTACCAGCAATGTATAAACCTGACCGAGATGCCTGAATGAGGTTGTCACCCTTCTGGAGCCCCGACGGCTGGCGTTCCTCTTTAGATGCCTTTTTCTTTTTTTTTTGCAATTTAAGGATATACGCTTGTCTTAGTTTGGGTTAGGTTCCCCCATATGAACTTACGTGGACAGCTGGAGTTGAGTTGTCACTTCTCTTGTCCTTAAGGTAATTCTAGTTGTTTCGAAAGTGATATTGATCTCCACCTACCATTAAAAGAAAAAAAGTTTTAGATCATCACCGATAAGCTGCGGCTCATATTGAACCCTGAAAGCCCTTGTGTGCAGTACTTTACTGACACCAAAGAGGTGCTGCCCCATATATGTGCAGGTTCTCTTGCTGTGGTGCCATCTGTCCAGAGCCTATTGCAGGAGTAACCAAACTGTGGCCCTCCAGCTGTGGTGAAACTACATGCATCGTCCAAATGCTCCGATACCGGAACTTCCAGTCAGAGGGAGGTCTCCCTCTGACCAGCAGTGCCGACGGAGCATGAAGCCGGCTTCCTTTCCAATCAGGAAGCCGGGCGGTGGGTCATGACCCACTGCCCGGCTTCCTGATTTGATAGGAAGCCGACTTCACTTGTTGCAAGGCAGTCTGGCTTCCTAACCAATTAGAAAGCCGGGCGGCATGTAATGACCCGCCTCCCGGCTTCCTGATTGGCTAGGAAGCCGACTTCACTTGTTGGCAGGCAGCCTGGCTTACCAACAAATCAGGAAGCCGGGTGGCACATCATGCAAAACATGCCTTTAAGGAGGCTGGGCTTCCTCCTGACAAACCTGCACCCAATTTGAAATCTTCTGCCCCCATGTGCTCCAAGATGGAGACTCTCATAGTTTAGAGTTAGGACCGCACTATAAGAGGTGCCTTGGCGCGGCTGTGAGGCTTTTTACATCCTCTGCATAAGACTTGTATCCAAACCTCTGTTATTAACCTTAGTGGTGAGACAAGCTGTTTTACATGCTGGTTTGTGAGTGTGCCATGATACCTTTCTACTGGGTGGCACGTCATGACACACCAGGAAACCTTGGCAAGTGAAGCCAGTTTTATTTCAATAGAACACCGGCTTTCTGAAGCAACAGAAAGCCTAATAATCGGGGCACATGGCCCCGGTATCGGTACTCGGTATCGGCCAGTACTGAAATTATCGGTACTCGTACTTGATCCCGAAAAACTGGTATCGGTGCATCCCTAATCAGGACAAAGAGAGCACTTTAGAAAAGCAGAAACAGGTATAACTCCTACATTGGAGGACATTGGTCAAATCAACGATCGATCGACCATAGCAACAAAAAAAAAAGTAAGTGTACCGCCCAAATACTCAGAATCGGCACCGATACGGATACTAGTATCGGTGCACCCTAATACTAAGAATGTTCATGTTTACCTTTATTCGCACAGCAGGAATGTTCACAGAGATTCACAGGGCGAATGGCTCTGCAAACTCTTTATAAACCTATCGGTCTCAATAAAATCATACTAAATTCATTTGGGTAAAGTGTTGGATGACCGAGTCAGTCAAAATATCACAGTGGTTAGAAAATTGATGGCGGAAGTCAGCTTGTAATAACACGCTCACAGAAAATACACTTTACTATCCCCCTATGATGGATTGCTGGAAGATGATACAGACAGAGCACTACTCACCCGCTGGTTTCTCCTAAATGGGTTCCCGAGACTACACAGGAGGGATCCGACATAGTTACAAGATCGACCCTGCAAAATCAGAGAAAAACAATGAAGCTCTGACTGGTCGTGTGAGGCATGGGAGCGCAAAGACCAAAGTGCTGTGACCCACAACACCCAATGAGAAATGAAATAGTGTAGACCTTCCAGACCCCTGGAATCTGATTGGTTGCTATGAAATAGGATACCCATAGAAAGGCAGAAGTCATGGTGAGAGCAATGGGTGGGAAGACAAATGCCTGTTGACTGTAGCGCTGGACCATCAAATTGGAAAATCTCAACAAGTTTTTCTAATGGTTGAAAACCGGCCATCACCACCTAGGATGGGTTTTGATTGGTTCCCGATCATTAGTGGGGACCGGAGCTTGGAGTGATAGTCCGGTCTGACATCAAGCAGTTCTGCTCTGTGCCGGCTGCTACCTGTCAAAGGGGGACAGAGATTATCATACCCTCAGCACTGGGTAATGTGCAGGGGCACATTAATCTACAGATTACAGACTGGGTTCATGTCCTGAATCTTGGTCGAATGTAGGAGTGTGTGACCATGCATCGGTTGGCCATCATGACAGTCTGATGTAGTAAGTGATATTGAGCAAGTATAAAAATTTGATCATGAGCAAAGTTTTTTTTTTGCGACACTGAAACACTTCTGGGACTGTTTAACCTTAAAGTACCGCAGCGCTGAATACTGAAAAATGGCCTGGATGGGAAGGGGGTTTAACACCGCAGATGTCAACTGGTTAATGATCTCTAGCCTCATAGTGGTCTATTTAAGATTCTCAACACAATGTGGCCACTAGATGGAGCTGAGGAGCACAGGAAATCCCTATGCTACATAGCTCCATCTAGTGGCCACAGTGTGCTGTGAATCTTGTTTGCAGAGCTGTTCGCCTTGCAAACATTTTAAACTCAATAAAGTTTTCTCAGTAAGATAGTTTGAAGAGCAATGACTATCTGCCAGGTAAGCTTAATAAGAACAGATGTCTCTAGTGTGAACTCAAATGTAATTGGTTACTGAATTTTAATTATTGTGCTCAGCTGTGTAGCCGGAAGTAAAGACTTACAGAGAGAGTTACTTACTGATGTGGTAACAAAGGCCAGCTCAGCTGGAAAGGTTATATTCAACATGGCCTCATGAGCGTCATCTGCTGGAGACGTGGGGCTCTGAGCATTTGTTACAATTACACGCAGGAGCAGCTTCTTCACGTCGGGGTCAAAATGGAGGATCTGGCTCCCATTTACCCTGAGGGCATGACATATGGAGATGTAAAGAAAAATGCTATCTGATATGACTGTGGGGTCCATTCATAAACTCTATGCAGGACACTTCAACCTGCAGATATATGTGCAGATAAATGCCTACACAAAGTTTTTTTAGCAGTTTCTTTACAAGGCAATGAATTTTCAACATGTTTTATGTAATAACGCAGTATGGCCACTAGATGGTGCTGAGGAGCATTACATTTCTCATGTTTTCATGTAATATCGTATTATGGCCACTAGATGGTGCTGAGGAGCATTACATTTCTCATGTTTACATGTAATATCGTATTATGGCCACTAGATAGTGCTGAGGAGCATTACATTTCTCATGCTTTCATGTAATTCGGCGCGCAGCTTGTGTGGAGCAGTGAACAGGGCCAACTAACCAGAAGCCGATTAATCGATGATTGAAAAAGTTGACAACTTTTTCAATAATCGATTATAATCGATTATGTCGATTAGTTGTTGCAGCCCTATATATTATGGCCACTAGATGGTGCTGAGGAGCATTACATTTCTCATGTTTTCATGTAATATCGTATTATGGCCACTAGATGGTGCTGAGGAGCATTACATTTCTCATGTTTTCATGTAATATCGTATTATGGCCACTAGATGGCGCTGAGGAGCATTACATTTCTCATGTTTTCATGTAATATCATATTATGGCCACTAGATGGCAATGAGGAGTAAAGAAAATACTTATTTCCTGTGCTACTTTATCCCCATCTAGTTGCCATAATGTGAAATTACATGAAAGCATTCAAAAATTCATTGCACTTGAAATGAAAATAACTAAATAACATTTGTTTTGGCATATATTCGCACAGAGATGTTTATAAATAGACCCCCTATGTCTTCAAACAATACAGCAATGCCACAATTAGCACTTTGGTAAATATATTGCATTGAGCTGATGCAGTTGTAATAAAATAGAAGGTGAATTACATGCCAGAGACTCATGCGTTATTGTCCCCTGCAGTTTTGATACCGCCCACCTCTTTCTCTTAGACTGGGGACACAAACGGAAAACAAAGGCTGTTTAATAAGCCATGTGATTAAAAGGTGACTGTTGTAAGCACCCCTGTCAGTGCCATATGGCTTGTCCCTAGTTTACTGACACTTTTGCTGGACAGCTTGGCCTGTTAAAGGAAGTGGAAAAATAATCTACTGGCAGGGTCAGCAGACAATAAAACTATGTTAGAGGGGGACTCTGATGTAACTGCTGTGGTAATGCTAGAGACTGCAGCATGTATAACATTTTTCATTTTGCTTTGTCCAACCTAGATCATTCAGTATTCACACCTTGAAAGGGTCTCGTTGTTTTCTCCCACAAATTCGTACTCCATCTGTAAGTTACTCCGACACACATTATCTGCTCCACACTCCTTCTGAAAGTCAACCTACAACAAGAATATATCATATAATATAAACACACATATTGTATGGTTCCTTTAGGGTCAGTCACATCCATTACATTTCCTAACAAAAACATACACTAGGTTTGTGGACCCCTGACCATCACACTTATATGAGCTTATTGGACATCCCATTCCAAAACTAGGGGCAACAATAAGCATTTGGTTCCATCTTTGTGGTTATAACATCCTTCACTCTCCAAAGATGGCTCTCCACAATTTTGGATGTGTGTCTGGAAATTTGTGCCCCCGTAAAATCCTTTTCTTGGAGTCCATTGAGGGACACAGCTCTGGACAATTCGAGACATCTTGAATTATCCAGAGAGGTGTCCCTCAATGGATGATAGAGGAAGAGCATTTATGAGCTCAGGTACCGATGTTACATTAGAAGACCTGGCCTGCATTTGGCATTCCAATTCGACCTTCAGATGTTCAGAAGGAGTAAGGTCAGGGCTCTGTGCAGGACACTTGAGTTTCTCCTCACCAGACTCATCATACCATGTCTATATGGAGCCAGCTTTGTGTAGTCATGGTGGAAAATGGCCTTTCCTAAAGTGTTGGTTGGAAGTGCACAGTTGGATAAAAGATTTTTGTATGCTATACAATTACCAGTACCCTTCACTAAAAACACCTAAAAATCATTTGGACGGGTGTCCACATATTTGTGCCTATATAGAGGAGGTGTTATGGTCAGGTGTCCACATATTTGTGCCCATATAGAGGGGTTATGGTCAGATGTCCACATATTTGTGCCCATATAGAGGAGGTTTTATGGTCAGATGTCCACACTTTTTTTTGCCCATATAGAGGAGGTGTTATGGTCAGGTGTCCACATATTTGTGCCCATATAGAGGGGTTATGGTCAGATGTCCACATATTTGTGCCCATATAGAGGAGGTTTTATGGTCAGATGTCCACACTTTTTTTTGCCCATATAGAGGAGGTGTGTCCACATATTTGTGCCCATATAGAGGAGGTGTGTCCACATATTTGTGCCCATATAGAGGAGGTGTGTCCACATATTTCTGCCCATATAGAGGAGGTGTGATGGTCAGGTGTTCACATATTTTCACTTATACAGTGATTGAGAAAACACAACTTCATATTTCACATAGATAGTTCACAATGATAATTACACATTAACAGAAACATCCACTAGAGGTCATTATAAATACATCCTACTGCCATCTACTGATGGGCCAACCATAAACCAGCTCAGGATAAAATGATATTGACCGGTTTTGTTTTTGCTCGTAGTGTTTCTCAGAATGTGAGGGAGTAGGAACATAGATTTGTAGAGGTAACTTTGGTGAGCTCCTCTAGCTTTATATAAACACATCTCAAGTCTTCTACAGCATGTCTCCAGTCTCCGACCCTACCTGTAGCATGTCCACAGTCCATCATGCCCACAGTCTTTGACTGTCATTACATTGTCAGTATTTCTATAGTCTTTGATACCCTCTCTAGTGGTACATTATGTGCGGCCCTTATGACCATGTCAGGGGCTGCAGTTGAGAGCCCCCTAAATTGACAACTACTGGTTTAAACACTAATGCACCCTCTAGTGGCTGACAGCTGTCATAAGAAAGAGAATAATCAGTGTGTGAAAATTGTGTGCTATCTTTGACGGCTACCAACCAACAGGGTGGTCATAAATGGATCTGTCACATGACCAGTTCCCATGCATGTGGAGCCCAGCAACCAAAAGGCAAAGGGATGATGACTGCAGAATTCAACCGGCATCAATAAAAGGAACACACCCATGAAACATATGGCAACAATCGATGAGGAAAGGTTGTGCATGGAACTAGGGATGCACCGATACTTATACTAGTATTGATATCGTTGCCGATACTGAGTATTTGGGCGAGTACTCATACCCCATCACCCCCCAAATACTCCGATACCATCCCCGATACTGGAAGAGTGCGGTAGGGCAACATGGAGCCAGCTTTCTGTGCGATCAGGAAGCTGAGCGGCAAGTAATAAACCTGCGGTATGTTACCCAGCAGTATGTCATTACCCACCACTGGGCAGCAAGTAATGATCCTGATTGGCTCACCAAACAGCTGGCTACTTGGTGATTGGCCGGGAAGCCAGCTTTGCGGCCAATTAGCATCGAACCGGCTTCCTGGCCAATCAGGATGCCGCGAGGCAGGTCATTACCCACCGTTATGTCATTACCCAACGCTGGGCGGCGAGTATTGACCCTGATTAGCCGGGAAGCTGGCACGATGCCGATTGGCTGGGAAGCCGGTTTCCCGGCCAATCACAATCAAGCCGGCCAAACAACATGGAGCCAGCTTCCCGGGCAATCAGGAAGCCGGGCGGTATGTCATTACCCACCGCCCGGCTTCCTGATTGCCTGGGAAGCCTGCTCCATGCCAGCGGTAGCACAAGTATTAATCCTTAGTGTTGGCGAGTACCGAAAGCAAAGTATCAGTACTCGTACTCTATACCAAAAAAACGGTTTCGGTGCATCCCTACATGGAACCCATGGCAACTTGCTCCCAGCTATAAAAAGAATGATTCCAGCTGACATGTATGTGTTCAGAAGTCCTGACAAGTTCACTTACAACACAGACTAACATCTGGGACCACCATGTTGGAAACTCCCTCACAATCCTATCAGCCCATTATTAGAACTCCAGCCATTTTTTTTGATAGAGTAAAGAGCAGGTAAATGTCCGAGACCCCACTGGAGAGATTTTGCATAACTTCCTGTCCATGTGACACCCACACAAGTCCTGGCAGGGAAATCTCCCCAACTGGACATAGACTATAACAGAAAATAAACTGACAAAGGATCTAACCGTTCCTTGCTCCATCCATAATTGGCTGGAATTTAGGTTGCGTTATTTACCTCTACAATTTGCTCCGTACTCTGATCTTCGTTGAGCACGGGGAAGTTGTCCAATGAGGCAACATTAGGGCGGGGCTTCAGCTCCCGGTCCAGAATTGAATATTTCAGCGAGATGTGGATAGGATGAAGCTTATTAAGGATATTATCCTGCAATATAGAGAAAACAAATGCAGATAATTACAGACAGAGGCTGGAGCGTGTTATCTACAGATTGCACACAGAGCAAGTACAAACAGATGAATGTTGCTGCAGCTCGGAATGTTCCCTTAATATTGTGGTTTCCTGTGTACACATGGTCCTTTGTGCATAGCTCTTAATGATCTGTGTTATACTGTAACAACTGTCTATTCTATGTCACGCTCCTGTAACAAGTGCAGTGTATTCAACAAGCTTAGACAAACTGTGCTAAAAATGACCAAAACCACAACCTGATTCATGCTGATAAGTGTGCAGATCAAGCACAAGAAAGAAAGAATATATATTATAACAAACAATAAGATAAAAAATTAGGGTTGCACCGATACGGATACTAGTATTGGTATCAGTGCCGATACCGAGTATTTGGGTGAGTACTCATACCCCATCGCCCAAATACTCCGATACCTTCCCTGATACCAGAACTTCCGTTGAGAGGGAGATCTTCCTCTGACCGGCAGTGCTGAGGGAGCATGGAGCTGACTTCCTTTCCAATCAGGAAGCCACACGGTAAATTATGACCCGCATCCTGGCTGACCGGTTTGGCTAGGAAGCCGGCTTCACTTGTTGGTAGGCAGCCTGGCTTCTTAACCAGCAGGAAGCCGGATAGCACGTCATGACCCGCCACCCAGCTTCCTGATTGGTCAGGAAGTCAGGCTGCTTAGCAACAAGTGAAGTCGGCTTCCTAGCCAATCAGAAACCTGGGAGGCGGCTCATGACTTGCCGCCTGGCTTCCAGATTGGTCAGAAAGCCAGGCAGCCTCGGCAAGTGAAGCTGGTGTTCTTTCCATGGCTTCCCAGGTAATCAGGAAGCCGGGCCGCCGGTCATGATCCGCCACCCGACTTCCTAATAATCGGGGCACACGGCACCGTAATTGGTACTCGGTATCGGCAAGTACCAAAGAAAAAATATCGGTACTCGATACTGAAAAACCGGTATGGGTGCATCCCTATAATAGTGAAATAGGGTGAGAATGTATTGACGTGGGAAGCCGCAGACAAATATAATCTGATTGTGGTTATCAGATAAATGTTCGGTACGTCAGTAATACGCCATAAATAACAGTATCTACTCTACAATCGTCTTCCTCTGCATTTGTCTTCCTTTTCTGAAGTTCTCTGAAAAAGACACTGAGGTCGTCCCGTCCCCCCTTGTTATCTCTTTATGATCCTGCGTGTCATAATTGCTAAAATTATTATTTTTTTAAAATACAGGTTTCTCTGTATTGCTGCGTCCTGCTCTTACACTGCAGTGCTCTGTGCTGGCAGAGCCGAGTAACAGCCACACCCCTCAACACAAGTGTCCTCATCTGGCCTTGTATTGCACAGAAGGGGAAGGGTGTGTGCCTGACCAGCTCTGAGCACTGGATCTTCTCTTACGCCACCCTCACATTATGACACACTGCACAAGTGCTATAACAGGATGACAGAGGTTGTTAGTACCATGTCTATCTAACTTCAATTTCAGGCACAGGTTCTCTTTAAGGATTTTAAGCTTAATGGCACCTTCAAAAAGAAAGTCATTTGCACTTCATTTTTGCTAACCCCCCTAACATGATGTGCACATAAAGTATATATTTGTTATTAACATCTCCTCAATCAGACTAATGGACAGAATATTAGGCCTACACAGGAAGCTTCCTAGAGAAGAACAATGGGCTCACAGTTATCTGCTTCTGCTAATTCTGATCTATTAAAAACCTGGAGCTGCTTCAGTTTTGTCTATGCCAAGGGGTGGACATATTAATATGGAAATCAGGAGCCAGTCTGTCCAATCTGGGAGCCAGCAGCATTATTTAGGGGCCAGCTCCATTGACAAGAACTAAAGAGAACCATAAAAGGTTAGGAATTTCTAAGAAGCATTGGCTACCTGTCTCCTGGGATTTGTCCAGCCCTAGTCTACCCTACCAATGATTTATGGGCAATGACCACTGAACAACTTGCCATTCAACACTCATGAGTGCTTGTGAAGTTCTTGGGAAGCTCTTATCTGACATTATTGATATCAAAGGAGCAAGATATACCATGCGGATTGAGTGGTCTATATAGCCCCTGTCCTATTGGTAATGGTTATCTCTTCCTGTCCATTGTCTGGTGACTCCAGTCATGCCACATGTCTTCACACACATAGTATATCTAAAAGATGAGCAGTCACGCTCTGTAGACTCTGGCAACACTCTCAGATCCAGTTCAGTCTTGGTAGTGGAGGCACCAATACAGGAGGTAGACCCTCATTGACCTCACACATTGAGTATCTTGCCTAGAGAAGTGTTGCACCTACTGCACAGTCTGCTCTTTCACTGATAACCCCCCCTCCCTTTCCTCCAGCTTCTGTCCAGAGCTCCTAGGCGAGGTGACGTCATCCTACTTCCGGCAAAATCTGGAGAGTGTAGCGTACTCCATATCGTGTTGAGAAGACCGTGTTTCAGCATCTCCTCCCAAGATCTGGGGTGCTCACCATTCCTTGGGATCTTCATCCAGCAGGAGGATGATGTCACCCCCTGCACCACATAAGCCGAAGGAAAGGGGACTATATTATCCTTTTTTGATGGCTTTTATCAAGAGAGAGAGGGGGGGCATTTTAAAAGCGGATCCTACATTCCATACAAGGTCCACTTTAACAAAACTTTATGTCATCATCTAAGTAGAGGTTCCTTAATAATGAAACCTTATCAATAATGATCCCGTATGTTTGCTTCTTATGTCGATGCACAGCGAGGACAGAGCCTTACTCACCAGTAAGTGGAGCTGGAGATTCTGGCACTTAGTCTCTGGCATTGAGAAGAAGCCCTTGTATACAGCTCCAGGGGCCCCCACAAACTTCACTCGGGTAGGTCGCCTGTCAAAATCAGCATCCACAGTGTATTGGAGGGCTGTGGGATTGGGAAAAATGATGAGTTTCTTAATTTTTATATTAAAAGAGCAGATATAAAAAAGAAATAAAACCAGTCAGTGACCTACGAATGCATTCCAGCAGTAAAAGGGTTACTCGGTTTACCTCTTTATGAGTTGTCCTCAATCCACAGCGCACACAGACCACCTCACAGGGCCAGTAAGAGAGCACGAGGAATGTTAAGCTTGTGCAAGGCGATATCCTCTGTCTCTGCGTCCTGCACCAATCACATTTCAGCTTCCAAAGCACATTAATATCCAAGACCAGAGGTAGGCAACTCCAGCCCTCCAGCTGTGCTTTAACTGCAAATCCCAACATGCCTCTGGGAGTCATGCCTGTAACTGTCAGTCTTGCAATGCCTCATGAGACTTGTAGTTCCACAAAGGCTGGAGTTGCCTACCCTGTTTTAGAGTGGCTGTTGCAAGTATTTGGTTCTGGGATCTCAAGTGCAGAAACCTAACCCGTTACCTCCATGACATATATAGGAAGCTGGAGGTGATCCAACTAGATGCAATCCTGCCAAAACTGTATAATCACCTTTTACAGAATTTCTTAGACCCCAATGGAGGTCATTGGGGGTCTATAGAGATTTTGTCTCGCTTTCTGTTGCGTCTCCGAGACAGGAAGTAAAGGAAAATGACGCCGGTAGGACACAAACAGCAGAAAAAAAGCCTATTGTATAGGCTTTCCCTACTCTTTAAGGTCTCCACGCACCCAACTCAACTCTGTCTATCAACTAAATCCATCCAAACCAAACTCAGTCTTAGCATTCCCACCTTTAAGTAGGCAACCAACGTTATCAAAAACAATTCTACATGTCAGAGGGGCCCACAAGACTCGTACTTACTAATATTTTTCTTGTATTTGGCGTTTCCGGTACTCAGGATGTATGAGAAGCAGAAGCGGACATCCATGCTGTATGGAGGAGAACATTCATTTGTTAAGTAAAACACAGATAACATATCATATCCGAGCATGCAAGGCTACGGCAAGGAAGGCGGCTCAGTGATATCATATCCAAGCATGCAAGGATGGCGGCCCAGTGATATCATATCCGAGCATGCAAGGCTACGGCAAGGAAGGCGGCTCAGTGATATCATATCCAAGCATGCAAGGATGGCGGCCCAGTGATATCATATCCGAGCATGCAAGGCTACGGCAAGGAAGGCGGCCCAGTGATATCATATCCGAGCATGCAAGGCTACGGCAAGGAAGGCGGCTCAGTGATATCATATCCAAGCATGCAAGGATGGCGGCCCAGTGATATCATATCCGAGCATGCAAGGCTACGGCAAGGATGGCGTAGGTCAATGGAACTGGGTGAGGACATCAGCCATCCTTAGACCACCGGAGCCCAGGGGATGAAGAGGCTGTGGGGAGCGATCTAGCAGCCTAGTGGGACTGAGTATCAGGTCATATATCTGCTTTATTTAGGTTCCCCAGACAAAATGAGCACTTAACTCTTGCAGTGTTGGGGTATGCCCACTGCTAAGGATGCACCAATACCGTTTTTTCGGTACTCGCCGATACCGAATACCAATACCGGAAGTCCCACCAGGTGACGAGGAAACATGTAGCTGGCTGTCTGGTGAATCAGGATGCCAGGGGGCGGGTAATGACTTGCCCCTGGCTTCCTGATTGGCCAGCTTCCCAACCAGTCAGGAAGCTGGTCGGTGACGGGGGAGCATGGAGCCGGCTTCTTGGCTCCATGCAAGTCATTACTCGCCCTCCATATTCCTGATTGGCCGGGAAGCCAGCTCCATGCTCCTTGGTGATGAGGGAGGATAAAGCCGGTTTCCTGGCCAATCAGGAAGCTGGGCGGCGTGTAATGACTCGGCGCCCGGCTTCCTGATACTGGAAGCTCCGGTATCAGGATAGGCATCGGAGCTTTTGGGCAAGTACGAGTACTCGCTCAAATACTCAGTATCGGCACCAATACTAGTATCGGTGCATCCCTACCCACTGCAAAGGTAAGGTTTTGATTTCCCAGAGTTCTTTAAGTGACAGTGTGGCTAATGTGTCAGGGGAAGAGAGTAAACACAGAATTAGCAGTGGAGGTGGAACAGGGATGAAAGAAGAGATCGGGATAATGAATATAGACCAGTGGTTGTAAACATATGAGATATAGGGGGCCTCAACTGTACCCCCAAGGACCGCAAAGGCTGCATGCAATAATTATAATATTCAGTGTATGTAATAACACAGAACACTATGAGAGGATTCAGAGCTGCTAGAGAAAACAGTCAGAGACTATGCACATGCTTTAAGGTATGGTTAGCGATTGGCTGTAGGAGACACACAGAGACTGCTAGAGATCACTGCTATTACAGCCCATTTACAAAATGCATGCTCCATGGCCTGCAAGGTCAAGCATCAAAGGGCCGCAGGTTGGGCACCAGGGAGAGAGACAATAGAGATAACTCTTACCAGGAAGTTTGGGTACATTTATTGGGATCCACAAGAGTTGGCGTCACAGAGAACTCCTTGGAGATATTGATAACGGGACGAGATCTGTAAGCCAAAAAAAAAGAAAATGAATGAAATTTGTACATCTCCAAAATAATAGTTACCTAGTTAGGTTGGAAAAAAAAAACACAAGTTCATACAGAGAAAATTTTCATTGGGTTTCCTTAAAACGTATCTAAATCCAAAACCAAGAATCTTAACATACTGGATCGTTTTTTTGCACCTGGTGATGCTGCCCTGTCCCTGGGTGGCTACACTCACTTCTCCATGGTATCTATGGAGGGAGCCATGGCGGTCACACAGGCTGGACTACAAACATGTCTGCCTTTGCTCATCTCCATCACATGGGATAGGGGGGAGGTCAGCAGTTTACAGAAGGAAAATTAGATTGTTTTATGCGTTCAGCTAATGTCACAGGAAGTGACAAGGACACAAAATTTCTGGCAGGATCAACAGGAAATCTCTACTTGCTGAAAATGAAAACTAATGCAGCCACCACATCTAATGATTAATATGCTATACAAGCTTGAGCTTTATCTATACATGCCAATGGAATATGTTCACTTCAATGGCACCCTTTGAAGCAGATCATAGGCACCTTGATTTCACTCTGCTGCTGCTTTGTTTAGCCATTGGGAGTGAAAGGAAGGCCCTGTGCTAGCTATGAGTCTTTGGAGTGATTGGCCCAGCACTGTCGCATGGAGTGAGTCACATGCTCCTTCATACCCAGAAGTACAGGTATTACTATCGGATCTTACCACTGAACAGAGCAGCGGGGGAGTGAAGGTATATGCTGCTACCAAGGGAGGGGGATCATTGAAAACCGGTTGATGAATGGGCAAAGCCCCGGTTTGCTTAAAGGAGAACTACGAGGTGAGTGAAAATCACTCAGCCTCATAGTTCGAGCCGACGTGTGAAACTCACACATCAGCTCTATAGATCGGGAAGTGAGCAAACACATACCGTCACTCGATCACTCTTAGAAGAACACATTAGTGTGAGGACTGTGCAGGTTTATGCTGGTGCTGGATGAAGCAGCGCAGATTCTACGTGAGATTTTAACTTATTTAAAACTTAAATAATACACATTTTGGTTGGTGTAGCCGAGTACTCTCTCTGGGCCCTGTGTGGCTGGATAGGGATTAAGCTTCCCTTGTGCCATGGCATGGACCTGGGGCCCTCCACTCATTATTCCTGTGTTTGGTGGATTACTGGCCAGAAGGTCAAGGTTAATATTGTTGTGCTACGCTCTGGCAAAGAGGTGTTGAAGAGGTGATATGCTCTCAATGTACAAATTGGTGAATGGGGACAGTACCACTGGTAACAAACGGTTTACTCTAAGGTCCCTAAAAAAAGAATAGAGGACACCACCTGGACCGGAGGACAAGAGGTTTATTCTCACATTGCATAGGGAACCATTTACTGTTAGAGCATTAAAGTTGTGGAACTCTTTCAGTAAGATCATCGTAATCCATTAAGTTTACTCTAATTCAATCAGTTAGCCATTGAGATACTATCTACTTACCTCAGCAGAGCAATTTGGTCCGCCAAGCTCCCCACAAGCAGGTCTGGGTAGGAGTTGTCATCCACATCAAGACCACCACTGATGGAGTATCCGAATGTTGGTATCCCACCAACCTGAGAACCTTCAATAATCTACAAGTGGTAAAAAAACCCAAATAGAAACATAGTGGTATTTCAGTGGTAAGAACGATGACCGCACACAGGTAAACCATGGTTCAGTTCTTCTATGCTTCCAGTCATTGTATGGGTTGGCCAAACATTTGAAGGCCAAGAGCTCCAAGGGCTACTCTCAGAAATGGGATGGAAGATGTGAACATATGAAGTACGTTATTCAACTCTTATATGACCACTCCTATACGGGCATTCAGCACCCACATTATTCAGGTTTGGCCAACCCCATGAGAAGACAAGTTTGCTGCAGACTCTACCACCAGCTCCCAGAGCAGATGAAGAGTCACTTCTGACTGTGTATGGTCAGAGGTGAACGAGGGGGGTCTTTACCTGACTTGGTTTGGACTGCAACCCGCTGGACTTGCTGTGGTAGATGTACACTTTGCCCATTTCTTCAAACGGAGCGCCCACGGCCAGATCTGCAACACAACAATGAATGATGAGAGCCCCGTTTTGGATGAAGACTCCCTTCATGTGATTTGTGAGGTTGGCCAACACCCAACATAAGTCATGCGGTTCCATAGAAGGATTTGTGGAATCCAAGCTGTGAGTATGTGCTATGAACTCTACTTCCCTTCTACAACGTGGACTTTGTGCTGCCAATCCTGTATTACCTCATGGCACTTCCTTAGAACTGCTATAGAATGTCACATGACATATCTACAATATAACATTTCATGGCCTAGTCAAAGGATATATAAAGACTGTTATTTTGGGGAAGGGTTTTATTGTTCCGGAGATTCATCTGATGACCGTTGTTACCGAGTCAAAAAGTCAGAGGAAACCCAAACATTCAGAGTTGTCACCAGAGCAAGATGTGAGGGATAATTCCTCCAATGGGAACACCTGTTTCTGTGACAACTCTCTAAGATGGAAATTCCATTCACTTTGTAGTGATTTTCTCTTATTTCCTGTTCCGTCTTCAGAGTGAGTGAGTTTAGTAACACGAGTGAGCAACTAAAAAGGTCTACCCTTAAATATAACTGGGCTCTCTGAGGAGCATTACACGAATGGTTGAACTGTCAAGAAAATGTAAAAAATGGGCACTGGTATGGGAGTCCACATTTAGTTTAATTGGGAGAACTACTTTCAAAATCTTCTATTCCTAGCAATAACCTCTCTGTAACTCTTCCTGTATTCGATTTTATAAGTCAGGGGTAGGCAACCTCGGCACTCCAGTTGTTGTGGAACCACCAGTCCCATGAGGCACTGCAAGACTGACAGCCCCAGAAATGACTCCCAGAAGCATCGGCATGATGGGATTAGTATTCTCACCACAGCTGGAGTGCCGAGGTTGCCCCCCCTGGTATAAGTATTCTGTCTAATAAATCAAATCTACTACTGCTCTGTATTATACAGCAAGTCCTCTAAATCTACCCTCCCATACTCCCATGAATCCATACTTCTTTATATATGAAGTGTGTCTTTACCCGTGAATCCGTCTTGGTTAATGTCTCCAATGTTTGCCACGGCAAAACCAAAGCCAGATGCCGCCGGGCCATACAACACCATAGAGGGCTTATCGGTGAAACTGCCAACCTCATTGTTATAAATGTACACGGCGCCACCCACATCCTCCTTCCGGTCAAAATAATATGGAGCGCCGACCACTATCTCCTGCCAGCTGTGAATAAAGAGGATATGATGAACTATAATTATTAATGTATTATATATCAGAGCCAAAAAGCATATCACGCGTCACTGACATACTGTACATCTCTTCTACAAGCTTCAGCTCCTGTATCTGTATGGGTTTATTTTTTATTGAAACATTGTCATAATAATTAAAAAAAATGTATGTATATATATATATATA